TCTCTCTCTCTCTCTCTCTCTCTCTCTCTCTCTCTCTCTCTCTCTCTCTCTCTCGAAAAATATTTCATGGTGCACGATCGCTCTGCTTTTTTTTTCTTTCATGCATTACTTGATTCCAACGATTAGTACAATTCTACGATCTTAATATCGCGAGTGTCTCCCAACTAGTGTGTCGTCAACATGATTATTAAAACTCGCTAATAAGGTGAACATCCTTACACGTGTGTGTATATGTGTGTGTGTGTGTCTCTCCTCCCTCCCTCTCTGTCTGTCTCTCTTGTATGTCTTCTTCATCTCTTTCTCTTGTACTTCTTCTCTCTATTTCTGTTTTCTTTTAATCCGCGTGTCGCGCACACGTTCGTGTATAACCGTGTCCGAGTCTGTGCAAGGGGGGCCACCTTCCTATCGTTAATGAATACCGTGTTTTGTGCGCCTCTAACGATTAACCATCACAATGACCAACGGTGTCTCTAGTTTACAATTAATATCTTTGGTATCATGCCTGAGTCTTCCGTTTCACGAAACACAATCGCTTAAACAATCAATAGAATCTCACTCGGGTTACGAATCGCGAATTGGAGAGTCGTTACGTGTCGTATCAAACTTAGAAAGAAAACCACCTGGTTCGCGCGTCGAACAAGCGATTAGAAACGCTACTCACCTCCGGAGAGAGAGACAATTCAGCCGACAAGGAGTCGTCGGCTCGATTGTATGGCAGCTTCGTAACCACGTGGAAAGCCACGGGGAGTAGTGTTTTGTGTCAGTGAGACGTGTTCCTGTTGTCTCCACTTGTTTCAAGCACAAAATATTGGATTTTACCCTACGTAATCTACAATTACAGCGTGCCGCGTGGCAGTTTGTAGATACTCCAACAATCGTGCGCGCGCGTATCGTTTGACGGTCGTTAGAGCAACGGGATACACCGTCCATCTGTCCGTCCGTCCATCCGCAGTATGTTCGCATTGCCGGTTTTATTGCGGACCCGCGCTGATTTACGAGGACTACTCCGACCGTGTCGTTAGCTTCAACGCAAAACTCCGCGACGGAAGCTCCGCGAGCTTCCCGACGAAGCGTGATAAAGAGTAGTAATTCGTGCTTGGAACGGGAATCACTTGGGTAATACAATGAAAAAGTTTGATCGAAATTTGTACTCGTGTCGCTAGAAAACCAACGAGAACAAACAAACAAAAGATAAAGCATCGATTTTCCTCTTCCGTGCCGGTCGTGAAACACGTGAGATAAAGGAACGACTCCTCGAGGCTCGCCCTTGAAGGGGATCTGTTCAGTCTTACCGTTTGGGGGATGATTCTCGGACGAGCTCTCGGAATGTATTTTTGTTCTTTTTTTTCGCGAAATAAACCTTAAGAAACGCTATAGCGATCGATCAACGGAGAAAAGGAGCGATAATGGAATTCGCGAGGAATTTACAACCTGTATTAGTCTGTATCCTTTTACGTTTGTGTGTCGTGTGTGCGTGTCGAAGAGGTCGGGTTCGATTGTTCACAAAATTCCACGATGAAAGACAGTCTGCTGGAATGTAGGGCCTCCTTCTCCTCCTCCTCCTCTTCTTTTACATTTTACTTCTTGTTTTCTCTTTCTTTTACTTTTTGCGACGCCGTAGAATTGCGGGAGACAGAGATGTCGAAATCAACGTGAGCTACTTGCGTCTGTTATACACGTTACAATGTGTATAAAATAGATACAAAAACGGCAGTACAAAAGATAGTTACGAAGCGCGACGACGAATTCTCATGAACAAAAGACTGTGAAATTCATCACCACGTGCGTCCGTCTCGTCTCAAGTCCATCGAGAGAGCCCCTCTGAGCTCGAAACTCCTCTCTCTTTCTCTCTCATCTTTCGATGCTCGGGAAGAGCAGGTGCTTCCCTTTTCTCTCTCTTTCTCTCGTCATATAGAATATATCACATACACGTTACTTCTAAACACACCGAAATAAGAAGCACTTTAAGATAGATGTCTACACATACCATCGGGCCCAGATGGACTGATTTCCCTTTCCGTTTCCGTTCTTCCTCCGCTGTTCAAATTCCCTAACTGATGCGTATGTTTTGTATATATGTATTATATGTACATAAGCGCTGTCCCTCTCTATCTCATCTCTTCCTGCTCCCGCTCTCTCTGCCTCATTCTTTCCCACTTTCTCCTTCTCTGTCGCTTCTTCTTTTCGCTTTCCTATTACGTATATGTGCAGGCGCTGAGAACGCGCGTCTCCGAAGCATACACAGAACTAGATGAACCAACGTTCGCACGCAAGAAACTAGAAGGTAGTATCGTCTTCGAACGACTGTTTCAACATATCCCTGGACAGCAGTAACGCAGTAATCTACGCTAGTTGGCCGCTACGTGGATATATCGATAACGTATACTTAAATTACGCAATATAGCAATCTCCACGATTTTATGCATGATGCAAGTTTCCAAATGTATGTGTGTCCGATAACAAAGAGTAAGACTCATCACCGGGGAGAAAAGAACGTGAAACTCGGACGTGCATCCCGTTTGAAATATCAAAAAACAATCAGAATGTAAAAATTGCGTGTCGCGCAAACGCTTGAAGAGATCTTTAAGGGACACCTCATCGTGTCCCGGGGCGTATATTTTGAATCTAACAGCGTTCTCACTACATATGTGCAGAATCTGTGAGAAACAATATTGAATACCGAAATCCAATCATGAGGGCGACACGAAAGTGTGCAAAAAGAACGCGCTCGTGAGAAGAAAAACGTATGACCCGCAGTTATATTTACAACAAGTAATCAAACTGCAATCAATGCAATTCACTTTGGCCAATCGCGAGAAAACATTCGGCCAACAACATTGATGATCGATTACGATCGTTTTCAATTTCGAGGCACGCAGCAGTGTTACGTGGTCTATATATAATGGCACTATCAATCACTCGTATTAAATATTACAACATTAGAAAAATTGCGTGTTTCGAGTTTGCGGATAGTCTCCTTTAATTGACTTTATGAAAAAAGCCTCGTCGTAAGTACTATGTTGCGCAGTTTTCTCTCTTCCTCGCTCTCTCTTTATTTTTTTCTCTCTTTCTCTCTCCTTCTCTCTTTTTTTTAACAACTACACGTCGACCTCGATTTACTAATTGTCAATTAATAAAATAGTGGAGATTACGACATTTTGTCGCGAACCGTCGCGCAACGTTCGCACTATTTTGTCAATCGAGCCTAATCACCAGAAAGTTTACTCGAGTTTTTTTTTACAAATTCTCGTTCGAGCACCGACGATCGCGTAGCGCCTCTGTCTCGTGTTTTCTCTTCTCTTCTTCCCCTACCTCCTCTCCTCTCTCTTCCTCCCCGTCCCGCTTAACTCTGGTCGTTCACTCTTTCGCGAATCGGCGCTAAAGACCTACGATAATCGACAATCGCTATACTACGAGAGATTCGCGCTCGTCTCTCGATCTGTTCTACCGCGTGTGTGTGTGTGTGTGTGTGTGTGTGTGTGTGTGTGTGTGTGTGTGTGTGTGTGCGCGCGCGGCAACGAGCGACCGACGTGCTCGACGTGCGAGGTCACAATGCGGGAACCACCTCCGGCTGGAATGTCGTTCCTACGCGGGAATTACGAGATGTTATTTCTCACAACGCTGCGTGAGAGCTGCGTGACTCGTGTGGTGCGTGCGTGCGTGTGCGTATGTGGGGGAGGGGAGGGGGCAGGAGCGAAGACGACGAGTCAGCCGTGCAGTCATGTCGCGGCTGCTCGACACTCGACGCTCGCGACTGAACGATCGAAATTCGCGCGAGATCGAATTCTGTTTTTTCTGTTTCTGCTTCTTACGGAGATCTCCGCCGCCGAGTCGAGTCCCGTCGTGCAAACAAACGATACAAACGCGTCTATGTAGACTCGATCGGCGCCGAAGAACGAAATACTACCGGGCGTCCTTTTGACCTACCGTTCTTACCGACCACAAAGCAACGAATTACCTCGTTTGGAGTCGAAACGAAAACCGCGCGCGGAACAAAGTATTCGATATGATCGAAGACGACGAAAAAGAGTTGTGCCGCGGCATCCATCGAAGCACCGCGAGATCTCCGGCCTGGTCTCTCTCTCTCTCTCTCTCTCTCTCTTTCTTCCTTTCTCTGTTTTTCTCTCTCACCTTTTGCGATTTTTCTTCTTCCTCTTTTACCGCTGTACACTTTTGGTGTGAACGCGCACTAGGACTGTAAGAACACTCGCTCGGTCTCTATACTTCTACCCCTCTTACTCTCTCTCCATGCCCTCGCGTCGTCAGAGCAGGATACGACGACGACCACGATGGCGACGGCGACAATGATGATGATGACGACGACGACGACTATGATCGATAGATGAAGCTGCAGGGTGGCGTTGGCGGTGGCGGCGGCTGGTTGCCACTCATGGCGATCGGTACGAGGGTAGGCGAGGGTGACGAGGAGGGAGGGGACGGGGAACTCGACGACACACTCGACGACGGCGAAGGCGATTCCAGTGCCCTCGGGCCGGCGAGTTCGCGATTCGACTGTCCCCCGGACGTCACAGCGCGACTACTCCTGCCGGCTGTCGTCGCGTTGTGGCGATTGCGCGTTGGCCGTCCTAAGCTCCGGTGACGGCCGCCCCCCTCCTCGCTCGTTTCTCAGAGATAAACCTTCTTGACGCTGCGCGTGGTCGCAAAGCCGTCGTTGCGGCGGTACGCGTCCCCCTGATGGGAGCGCAGGGTGCCGAAGTTGTCCCTGGCGCCGCGAAAGCCGTAGCCGTCCGGGAACTGGAAGAGAGTCTCTGTGGGTGTCGGCGGCGGTTTCCTCATGGTGCCCTTGGGGGACTGAAGTTTCGGCGGTTGCGGCACCAGCACCGGCTCCGCGTAGGTCACCTCCTCCTGCGGCAACAGCTTCGGCTCCGGTGGTAACCTGCTGGAAATGCGAGAGCGCAACATTATATCCGGCGCTCGTACGCGTGAAACCGCTCGGTTTCCTCGTCTCCTCCGTGAAAAATGCCCTACCTGTTCACGTTCTGCCGTTGCTCGAAGTACTCGTACTCCGTGTCCGGGTACGGCAGATTGTCGTCTTCGTCTTTCCTGCACTTCTTCCCGCACATGTAACCCGCCACGAATCCGACACACAGCGCGAACACCGCGCCGGCCACCACAGCCATCACCAGAGTCTCCACCGAGTATTGCGGCGGTGGCGTATCAGCGGCGGACACTTCTGGACCTGACAATGTAATAACAACGATGATAATAATAATAATATTTGCTTTATTGAACGTTAAACACAACGTCTGGTAACGCTTAAGGATACATGCATTGTGTGTGTATGAAGGAAAAGAAATATTTAAGAAAGAAAAAAATATTTATTCGCGATACTAATATATAACATATTTTTATTTGTACTAATCTATACATAGAAGGAGGAGGGCATATTAGATGGCGACGGGACGTCGTGTGTTCGAGATCTGTGTCTTTTTCGTTCCGGAGAGAGAGAAATATCGAGAGCGCAGTTTGCTAGGTCGGGATTCGAACCCGGATCTTTCACTTACCGACTGCTCTAAATCACTGAGCTACCTGACGCTTCACGCTCAGACAAAATTTACGTGTTTTTAGACGTAGAATCCGAATCTACAATAAAAAGTAGGGGTTCCCATTTAAGATTTCAAAGTTAGCCCTCATCTCACCCCCAGAGGGCGGGAGACGGCTAACTTTTGTGGGATAGTATTGCCCCCTTGAAAATACTGAGGGTTTATTTGGAATATTTTTTCGTACAATGCTTATTTTTCCAAATATTTTGCAGTCTCAAATTAAAAAAACTCATCCTATATATATATATATATATATATATATATATATATATATATATATATATATACACAAAATAGAATGTCTGTTTCTCTATATCCTATAAACTTCTAAATCCTATAACCGATTTGAATCAAATTTCGTATAGTTGCTCTCTAGGACTTTGCGGAAAATATAGTCTACTATGAAGTCCGGAACATCTCACTCCATTCTCCTTAATTACATCCCTTTGACACTTTGTGAAACGCAAACGCTAACATTGTGTAGGTGAGAATATGTAGATAAGCGTAGAAATAAGATAAAGAAAAAGAGAACTAAAAAATGTGTGTCGCGCGTACCTGAGTTATCTTGCTCCTCGTCCTGCATGATATTGATGATTTCGCCCCCTTGGCTGTCCTTGTTCGGTATCATCGAGTCCAGCGGGAACTTGTTTTGATTCGCGGAGATGGCGCCAACGCTGCCGGCGTCCTTGTTGAGACTTTTGCTCGGCGGGCAGGACGCGTGTATGCCCGTCGCGACGCTCTGCAGGAATCTGCTGGCGTCGGTCGCCGCCGGTCCAACCAGCGCCCTGCACTTGCCCTCCACCTTGTCCCAGGCGCAGTAAGGGTCCTGTAACGCGACGCACTCGCCGCAGGAGAGTATCCTGTCGCTGTAGCAGCGATGGAGCCTCAGCGCCTGCACTTGGCTGTCGGCGATGACGACCAAACGGCCATCTTCGAGACCGTCGCCCGCCTCGGACGCGCGGACGACCTTGATGCCGCGCACCGGCACGGTGGAGGGAAACGCCTGTATCTCCTCGATCACGACCGGACTGACCTTCTGATGAGAATCCGCGGATTCGGCGTTGATGGCCTTAATCACCTTGCCGTTGTCTGTGCCGATGAAGAGCACGTCGTAGGTCTTGTCGCCAGGTGTCCTCACCTGAGGATCCACGGCGATCTGGGTGAATCTGTAACTGGGAGAACGACGAGGACGATGTATTAGCGAGCGTCCAAAGCGAGCGGCACGATCGCGCTTATTCGGCAGGGTTACGATTTTTCGCTCTCGCTCTGTTTCGCGCCGCGGGGAAAAAAACCAGCGCACGAGCGAATAAAAGCGTCTATCGGCGCCGTCCGGGCGCAAACGTAAACCGCATTCGCGTAGCGAAAACTGCGCGACGCGGCGATGCGTGGATAAAAGCCCGTGAACGCGGTGAACAGGAGAGTGAGAGAGCGAAAGAGAGAGAGAGAGAGAGAGAGAGAGAGAGCAAAAGAGAGAGAGAGAGAACCTGCGCGTCGTTTGCGTTCAATTTGGATTTCGGCTCCGGCTGAAATCGCTCGGCACGGCCGGAGCTCGGGGATATCCACTTACTGGAAACTGGTGCGTATAACGATCGGCTGGCCGAAAAAGCTCGGCACCGATTCGTCCATCAGGGAATGCGTGTTGATGAAGTTCAGCGTCAAGTCTGGCAGGGTGCGCGAGTCGTTGGTGCACTGGCCGGGCCGTGGATCCGGCACCTTCGTGTCCTGCACCGGCAGCCAGTTCGAGTTCAGGGCGGTCTGCTCCTTGAAGTTCCCGTTGAAGGTGTCGGCGATGTCCTGCAGGGAGAACGCGCAGACCGCCGAGCCGCTGATGCTGTTCACCGGCGTGGTGAAGGTGCCGTATATCAGTTGCGCCGACGTGCCGCCGTATTGGCCCGATATCAGCTCGGTCGTCGACTCTGTATGATCGAGAACGTTTCGCAGATTAATCCTCGCGGACATGTCCTCGTGGACGTGTGCACGCGGCTCGCTCCGGAATAACGATTAATCCTGCGTGTGTACCATGCGCGATTATTCGTGAACTCTCGCGTCCGCTTCTGCGGTATTCGTACGTGGGAAAAGGAACTTAACTCAGAGGCAAGTAAATTTCTGTTGCTCGAGGACCGGGCGAAAATTCAACTATAGGAGCAAGAAGATTTCTTGTAGGAGGTTTCCATTACTCAGTCAATTCTATTTTTCGTATTGTTTTCCAATTATTTTCGCTAGGAACATGGCGAATTTTTTAATAGCACATTTCAGTTTCCGAAATTTAAACAGCAATTATGAAATGGAAGGATAATAAATTACCGCAAAACGCCGATCTATTCCTCGATTACGAAATTTTATAATGATCTTTATCAAATTCACTCCGTTTATTACTCAGTCAATTATTTTCAATAATCTCAGCCGAGTTTCAACGCGGACGAATGACAAGACAAGTGCTTTCCATCGCGGTAACGAGGGATATCATCCCTCGACACCAAATTTTCATCTGGGTCACGTTCAGTCGTAGCTTAGTTTTTGCCTTCACCGAGCCGAAGGATAACGCGACAATCCTCAAAAGAGAGAGAGAGAGAGAGAGAGAGTAAATTGAAGATAAAAGTCCCAATATCAAAACGTGAAGGCTAGAGGTATCCAGGACGATTCGAGTTACAGGAGATCGAAAACGGAGGTAGTCTGCGCGAGCGAAGTTTCGGAGAGGGCCATTTATATAACAAGGACTGACGGTTCGTTTACTTCAGGAGAATTTTCATCCAATATTTTTGTCATCTCGGCGATATTTCAAATTACAAAGCTGTGAAGGAAAACGACGACTTTTTTCGGCGTTTTCGTCGGGTGAATAAGTCAACTTTATATTCGTCCGAAATGTTACCGGTGTTCCACTCCACCTAAGTGGAGCGACCAATATAATTACACATTCTCAACACATGAAGTATCGAAATATATCGGATACGAACCAATCACCCATTTTTATTATATAAATAGCTCTATTCGAAACTTCGTTCCCAATATTTTATAAGAAATTTGTGTGAAATTGGACTATCCTATTCCTGTCTGGTTACACCACGAACAAATGCAGGTTTAATGTATCTAGTCGCCGGACTAATAAAACGACTAATATGGCCTATATTCGCCTTTTTTCTTTTTTCTGTTTCCTGTAGGGGAGAGTTGCCAAAATCGTGCCTCATTAATTATACCTGATTTTCTTGAATACATTCTATTTACTATTTCTTGTACTACATTGAGAGAAACAAGTGATTTATTTAACGAAAATTACAGCTATTTTTGGTCCTAAGCATATTTTTTGGTTGTCCTAACACGAAAACGGTCTCTCAAAAAAATGTTTTGCTGGTTTAGGCGGAATACTAAATGTCGCAGTCAAAATTAATCGCTGTTTTTTCGTAACTGCTAGAAAATTGTCTGTGATACGCAGAATTTACAGCAACAACATTCTAGCAATATCTGTAAGCAAATTTAGGTGCACGGAAAAAAAATTTGGTTGAATTAACCAAATATCTGGTCGAATATAAACGATGCAGAAATTCCAATTGAAGTAACCCGAATTCTATTTAAGTTAACAAGATTTTTGATTGACTAATCAAACATGTCTGGTTATTTAACCAGACATGTCTGATTAAATAACCAGATATGTTTGGTTAGTCTATCAAAAATTTTGTTAACTTAAATAGAATTCGGGTTACTTCAATCGAAATTTCTGGATCGTTCATATTCGACCAGATATTTAGTTAATTCAACCAAACCTTTTTTTCCGTGTGGATTAGGAGGATTATACATTCGTTTGTTTCGCGTCACTAGTCTTCTGTATCTACCACAGACAATTTTTATAAGAAGTATTGGATTAATCTGGATGGGCGCCATAGAGAGACTCTTTCTTACCAAATTTCATAAATAACCCAGATGGAAGTTTTGTCTCTCTGTCATCTATATTGATTAAATACAAAATCTACGTGACATCGCAGTGTTTGTTGATTATTTATCATCTTAGCTAATGTCTCATATCTAGATAATTTTTTAGTAGTGTGGTAACGTGTATATAATGTAATTATCGCTAACATTATATCACTAAAATTAATATTATCACTAAAATAAAATAAAATTGATATTATCACTAAAATTTGATAAAAATGGTTTTCTCGACCATAATTTATAGAATTTATAGTAATTTCTTTTTATGTGACATTATAGTTACAAATATCAAACATTTCTTTCTCAGTGTAGCGCGTACAAAATAAGATATCTGAAAATCGTTATTGCTTATGTTTCTCACCACTCATTTGTTTTTTCATTTTTACCCCGTTAGACGTTGTTCATATCCAATAACAATAAAGAAATGGATGATCTACGATTTGGGAAACCGGCACGATTTGGCAACTCTGTTTCTATGCACATATCGACTTGTACTTACGTATCTCGTTGAAGTAGAAGGGGAAGTCCCCGGTGACAGAGCAATTGAGACGCGACTTCAGGTAGGATGTCCACCTGTTACGGAAGCGATGCGGTCCGCCCCGGTCGTATTTACAGACTCGCGCTACGCGAGAGTACACGGCCTGCGAACGCGAAAATAGCGTCTCGTAAATTTCGCCGTAAGGCGAGATAATTTCGTTCCCCCGAAACGTGTCGCGTCAAGCGGAGGAAGGGTGGGACAGAGCAAGAGGCGAATTCTATTTTTATATATAGTTTCAGTTAATTCTCGTTCTTTTTCCCGCGCGAGCGCGCTGTTAAAGCGACACTCGCGCGTTCTCGGCTCGCGCGGAAGGTACGGGGTAAAACTTCCCTGGCGGTCTGATATAACGCGCCGTACTTTCCGGCAAGTTGCGATCCGGCAAAATGCATAGCCGGGCACGTAAAGGAGATAAAACGTAAAAGAGGGACGTTTCGGCGGTGGATTTGTCGTGACCTATAATTAAAATAGAAGTCTCGCACGCAGGCTGTGCGCCACCAGCGCGGCACGTAAACGAATATAAAGCGCGCGGGGAGACGGAGCGCGAAGATTTCGAAGATCTCGGGGAATAATTTACTGTACCCCGTCGAGATTATAAATTTATTCCGAACCGCATAAAATCTCCTCACGGCGTTCTCTCGCCGTACAACGCCGACGACGGCGGCGGTGGCGGCAGCGGCGGCGGCGATGATGGCCAGGAGTCGCAATCTTTACCCATAATATACCCGCCCCAACTTTTTCCCCGGGACCCGCCGGATTTATCCTTCGCTCGCCATAAAATTATGCGTCATTATCAGAGCACGAAGAGAAAACTCCGCCCCGCAACGCGCTGGCCTTTGACAATAAGTCGAGCTCGACTTAAGCTTCGTCCACAATGAGTCCGACGCAACTTTCCGCCGTAACGGCGGCCCATCAGAGAGAATCGTTTGTGCGCACGCGAAAGAGAGGAAGTGACGAGCCTCGGAAAGCCGATTTTCAATGCGAAACGATGGGCGAAAGAGACGTAATCGTCTTACCGGACGTTAAAAATCGCTCGGAGGTAACGACGGTGCGCGCGGCCAGCAAATTCCCGCGAAACTTTTGTACGTATTATCTGTTGCGGGACTCCGACGCGAAACTTAATCTTACTCGCGCGATCTCCCGATTTATTGTCATCCGTCGCCGTTGCGCCGGTTCGTCCGACGAAATGTTGCAATAACGAGCCTTTTCATGGATTGCGCGGTGACGGGTCGCCTGACATTCGAATTTCGATCGTCGAATAATGCGAAGGAATAACGATCAGGACCACTCGAAATGCAGTGATCGGAATTCTACTGTTCATCTCACGTTTATCAAGGATTCTCGGTATCGCCATTTTGTACATTTCGCAACGCATGCAAAGGCGATATTACTTGATTTTATAAAAAAAAAAACATTTTTGTTTAAAAAATATCTGTGTTTTTGACGTATTAATTTTCAAATGAAGTTACACAACGTTAAAGGTAAGTTACTTGCGAGAATATATTTTATATAATTTAACACGAAAAGAAGCCTGTGTTCGTGTTATTAAAAAATAATTGTCATTAATGGAAAGCATGAAAAGTTACATTGAAAACATGATATTTTTAAATATATATTATGTCCCAGATTGTTTCATATATAAGTTACGATATATATAATTTTCTGAGAAGAATTTTATCGTTTAATTTATTATTTATTTAATTATTTGTTAAATATAAAATTTATTGATGTAAATTATCTTTGTTTAACGTTATGTAATCTCATTTGAAGATTAACATATAAAAAATAAAGATATTTTCTCAACAAAAATGTCCTTTTTTCTGTGCAGAAAGATAGCGTGAATAACTTTTATTCATATTGGGAGCTTCGAACTCTCTCCCTTTCTTTCTCTAATATTTATTTCATCATCCAATGAAATGGGTACAATTGTTCTTTTTTTCGTATTACTTAAATGAGAAAAAATTACTCCTGTTTTAATTGTACCGTATTCTTTAAAGTACAATCAGTGTATTTTTCTGTGTATATAATGAATTTGTGCTATTATAATCGACTCCTCACTAGAAATCTATTATTCTAATATTTTTCCTGTTTAATAAAGAAGAATACGTTTACTTGAGTGCCTTCTATTTAGAAGAACTTTCTATTAAAAACAAGACTTGTGTTCTGCGCATAAAAGACGAAATTTATCTCTAAATCTGAAGATATTGTATTTAGAATATTTTTATTTTGATTTCTGAAAACTATCTCGACTAGAATATTATTCCATAGACTTAATCAGATTGATCCCAATCAGTGATCAGCTGTGATATTGTCGGGTTCTAATTAACAATGTTCAAATTATTAATAATCCTTATCGTTAATAAAGTCCTTATTATTGCGTTACATGATTTATTAAGACTTAATAATATTATCTTATACAAACCGTAACTAAATAGAATCAACCTGCATCAGATCATAGGATAAATTTCTAATCGGGATATAATATGAAAAAATTGCGTTAAGGATGATATTACATTTTTTTTAGGTGTACTAAAGTCGAGGTTTTCAATACGAGTAGATGTGACTCACGCTATATCTTTCTAGGGTTAAAGGGATGCTGAAGCTGAAAACTTCACCGACAGAACACTGACATTTTTCTGCAAAATTTACGTCGTATTGGTTACATATAATTACAAATACTTTTACGCAATGAAAGTACGTGCAAAAATAAATAGGAGCATTGCTCGATATGTAACAAAAACAAACAAAAAATTGTGAATATAAAATCCGAAGCTGTCAGTTAGCGTGATATTTGCCTAATCCAAAAGTTCCGCAGCTTGTATATACTGAAATTGTGGATGCTCCAAACAGAAAAATTTTGATAAACATTGCCCTACCTTCACATTTGCATTTGGAAGCTTAAAAATATTGAAAAAGTTTGCAGAAAGATTTCTACACATATATGGTTAGGTTTTCCGTTGAATATGGTAAAACAAAGCAACACACATTCATGTAAGTTCTGTATATACAAGAAATACGAAAAGGATAGCGTGATTATGTTAGTGACGATCGTTTCTGCATTATCGACATTGTTCGACTTCGTCATCGACTCCAGCATCCCCTTAAACGAGAACAAACAGATGATTTCGACAATGCATCGCGCGCATACGTTGCGTCCTTCTATTAGAACGGATCTGTATAAACTGCAATGATAAAGATGATCGGCCGATTGCGATTTCTTACCTTGCCGCAATTGATATATTCTACAGCAGTCTCTCTGAAGAAGAAGTAGACGAAGTCTCCTTGGGACATGGAGCTCACGAAGTTCGGCGCTGCAATTAGAATATGTGACCATTACTAACTACTATCGCGTTTGTGTTCGCGTTGGCGGGCACCGCAAGAGCGCGCGTTCCCGCGCCTCGATAGTAAATGGTGCCATAAATTCCTCTTATAAATAAATGAGCGTAATAACCACCTACTGGAACGCAATCGATGGCGTGTAATAAACCAGACAACGCTCATACAGCAGCCGGAAAATAAGGGGCAAAATCTCACGGCGATTTATTTAAAAACTCCCATTTCCACTCGCGGCGGCGGCGTTCTCGCGGCGGGCATTAATTTCTTGCGCGTTCCAAGCGTCTCGAAATGTTAACGGACGACGACACTGCCGTCGCGAGCACCGGTTATTTACGTTAACAATCGCCTCCCTTAATTACGCCATTAATCACGACGGTCGTGGTAATTATTTGAACGTAATTACGTCGATTAAGCGCATCAAGATGTTCGCGTTGAGGAACGACGCGTCTGTCGGTTATTAATTCGCAAAAATTGACCCACGGCGACAACTGCTCTCTGCCTCTCGACGGCTTTATCGGCAAAATAACGAACGCGACGTGCGAAAGTTTACGACTGCGAGACGCAAGAGTTTAGGCTACAATAATAAGACGCTTCTCTCGTCTCGTCGTCGGGAATATCACCCCCTATCTACTCATACATAGAACATAAACACACACGCGTACACACACGTATACACGCGTGACCTCCGGTGCACACGTACTCTCAGGCGACATCCATCGTCAATAAACCGGCTACGTAAAGGACCTTTTTATTTTTCTCTCGGTTATTTCAACGCCGTCGTCGCCTGGTAAAACGTCGCCGTGTCGCGGTTCCGCCGTACCGGTCGGTCGCCCGATAAAGTGGGAAAACTTTATCGATTTATTAACTTGACAGGGTTTTCATAAGCTTCTTAGGATTCATAAAGTAATATTAATCTCGCCATGCCACGTAGGTATATCCGAACGACCCGTCGCTCTCCGCCCCATAAATTCACCTCGTTTTACTCCGGACCGTGAGCGCACGAGAGGCTCTTCCCTCTCTCTTTCTTACTCTTCCTCTCTCCCGAGCTACCTTCCGCCGTCTTTCTCTCTTCCTCCCTATCTGTCGCCGCGGCTCACTTCCTTCCTCGCTTTCCTGCCGCCACCTTTCGCGTCTCACGTCGCGTTTAACTGCGCCTTCGTCGAGACAAAGTGCCGCGGAAAATTCGCGACGGTGGCGGCGGAGACGAAGCCCCCGAAAGAGAAACACTACCTCCACGTTCTCTGCCCGAGGACCCTCGGACTCTCCGTGACCGATTAGAAAAACGCCGTCCACGTCGCGACCAGCGAGCCCCGCCGGTGTATCGTCCGGAGATTTTCGATTCACGATTTGCTGCCGTAAGGGGCAGGGAGAACGGGGCAGAAGGACGACGTGGGGGCGGCAGCGGGATAGAATTGAATTTTCGACGGACGGAGAGAAAATCAATATTGTCCAACGGGCGGAGAAACTTGATTAGCGCTCTCGTACACCGTTCAATTAAAATACCCCGACGGACTGGGGGCTCCGTCCGCCTCGGGCAAAGTGACGTATCAATTTTAACGCCGCGACGACGAAGATGACGTACTTTGAAGTTCCATATAATACACCGTAGTACAACGCCCGGGAAACCAGTTTTTAATTTATTAAATCCACAAAGGAAGAGAAAAAAGAGAGAGAGAGAGAGAGCGCGCACGCGAGTGTGCCTGTGGATGTCCGTCCGCTGGACGAGCACAAAGCTTCAGCCAGACAGAAATTATATCGTGCGCTAAGGTCGACGCGTTCTAAGAAACGCGATATCCTTCGCGAAAAATCTGTCGTGTCGACGACGTTGATTGTTAATTAAGTCTCTGTATGATTCGTGGGTCATTTTAGGAACGATTAAACAGTCAGCAATTCTATGCTTTCCTCGGTGTTTTGCGAGAAAAGGAGACATTTATTATAAACATTTTGGAGGCTACAACATCTAGAAAAGGTATATCAGGAAAGTTACACTGAGAGAAAAATATTTAAGAAATGAAAAATATTGATTCGATGGATATTATAACATATTCACATAAACTAATGTAAAATATCTTTCAAACAGAAAATACACATCTTCTTAAAACCTCAGTTTTTAATTAGTTATTGTTTATTCCATTTAAACGAGAGTTTAAATTTAAGTAGAGTTAGTAAGATTTAAGTAGAATTAATAAGTATATGTTATTATAGTACATCGAATAAATACGTTTTATTCTTTAGATATTTTTTCTCTCAGTGTAGAGACCTTAATGTAAGAAAAATGAGAAAAAATTTTGTCCCGAGGTTTTTGCTCACACATGGCGAGAAAAGTGGTACTGCTCAGAAATGACCAAAGAATTACACGGCGTTGGCGGAAAACAGCGGATCTCGAGTCGAAATTTTAATTCTACTTGCGATCCGAACCATTTGTATATTCTGAAAGATTAGTGCAGGTTTGATTCACATAGAAATTTCAGTTCTACTTCGCGCACTTCTAAATGACAGAAAACGTACAAAATGCCACTTGTGAGTTCTAAAGAAGACCTATTGACGAAATTAGTAGGTTAAATAGAATCGGAAGAGACTGATACAGGCTTCAGAGTATCAAAGCAGGCATTAAAAGGGAATACTGAGGTCGAAGGTAGAATCAAAATTTCGACTCGGCATCACGCGGATTGAATTTACGCTCGATTCGCGTGAAACGGCGCAGAAAAGAACACAAAGCGCGTCCACGTCGTCTCACATAATTAGGAAACGCGGGGGAATTCCAGTAAGCAAACGCGCGATTTCGCCCGATCGAGCGCGCGTTTCATGATAACGGTTGATTAAGAGTCAAATAATTGCCGCGTTACGTCTCTTCGTGATACGCGATATCCGAGATTAGAGAGCGCAACTGGGGGCGTATTATAATCTCGGGGGCAAATTTCGAGCTGATGGGCTCGCGCGTACCCCGCCTCGTTACACGAGACCGGAAGATCCGCGGAATAATCTTGGGCCAAGTACCGGGGGAAAGCTTACAGAACCACGTATACGCGCGGTTAATCTCGAAATTACACCGTGTGGATCAGGAGACACGACACACGGTCGCGGCTCGATCGCGACGTTTCTGAATAATTTCCCGCCCAGAGAGAGAGAGGGGGGTGGAAGGGAGAGAGAGAGGGAGGGAGGGCTCGCACGCCGCATTTTCAAAGTCGACGTGCGCACCGATCGAACTTTGCGTGTAAATATTGAATCGAACTCGCAGTTGAAGTTTAATGGACACGGATATGTATTATGCGGATGCCGTTGTGACTTTCAAACATTCAGACACGCGTTCGCCTCGACCGAGAGACGTTTCCTGCGCGTGAGGATCACGAGCATTCGACGACGACGCGATCGGATCGCTGGACGACGATCACGGCGTTCTTGAATAATTAATGCGATGATCGCGGTAAAAGGCTGGTGAGATTCGCGACAAAACGACGCGTGGTAACGATGACAACGCGGGGGAGCTTTAACTCGGCGAAAGACACGGAACAAAGCGACGTCGACGTCTGTCAACTGTTGGGCAAATTCAGCGCAACTGTATTCCAAAAATTCTTCTTCTATGTAAAATCATTTCTATATGTTGGTGTGTGTACGTGTATACATTTATACGTATAGACTTTCAAAAAAAGAATTAGTGTACACTTGAAACTAATATATTCAAATTAACAATCATTGTTTCATTGGCAAGCAAGAATATGTAATTTTGTTTAAAGAATTTTAAAGTCTCGAATTTCAACATAATATTATAATTTTATCTGAATAATAATATTCTCATAATATGCAAAATGATTATTTTGGTGACGATAATGTCTTCTTCCGACATTCTAAAAAATTGTATTCTCAATCGGACATTTTGCGTTTTCCACTCGTGAAAATTATTTTTGAATAATAAAAATATATTTCTCTTTGTTGAATTGTATAACATGTATTGGCAAGTAATTTATCTTCATTTAACGCTGTGTAACTTCATTTGAAGAGATTTTAAGAGAAAGAAAAATGTTTTCAAAACAAGAATACTCTTTTTTCTATGTAGAGGAGAGCTGTGCTGATAATTTTTATTAAATACCGACTAATCGCGATTCATCCATTTTGAACTTTCCTTATTCTTTAGTCCGAATAATGTGAATCTCTCGGCAACTTTCTTTCGTAAACTCGCGCAGAGATACTTTCGATAAATGCGACCATTGTCTTATTGTTAAGAAATGCAAAGTTCGCGAAGCGCTGAGACCGAATGCCGATACAGAAGCGCAAACTTTCAAGTAATACGAATAAAGAGTCTCTCTCTTTCTCTTCCTCCCTCTCTTTTTCTCTCTGCAACTCCTTGCAATTAGAAAGTAACGATCGAATTAATTGGATTCGATTTATAGGCTATCTATGGCGCCTAATTAGCACAATCTAAACGTAACTCGATCTTGCGACTCTTAAAATCACTGTTTACAAAGACTGTTTACTGCATTTTGCATTCCATGTATCTCGAAAATATTAAAAGTCCAAATTGAGATTTTTGTTTATACATCAACTTTGAAAATAACATCGTAAATGAAAGAGGTTAATGAAAAATCTCGAGATATCTGTGCATGTTATTATTCCACCTTGATGTTACAAATGGACATTTGCTAGCATTCTTCCCAATGTTGAGAATTAAAGAAAAATTTATTTAAGAATTACTTAACTTTTATCATCTTAATATTTGTGCAATAAAGTAAATTGTATAATTAATATATAGTTGATTGAAATTAAAAATAGACATTAAATGCACGGATGAAATATCAGAATAATTGAATATTAAATAAGCAAACCTTTTTATGAGTCTCAATATGGAAAAATGGTAATAACTATTTGTAGTATCAAAGTACATTCAGAGAATAAAATATCTAAAAAATAGTAAATATTTATATTTGGTGGATACTAACAATATATTTACTTAAATCTAAATTCTTTTCTTTAATATAGAATAAACAATTGTTTTCATGAAAAGTCCAGATTTTTTTTTAAGGTTTCAAAGTAATATATATTTTTTATTTGAAATGTATCTTATATTATGGTAAGAGTAAATATTAGTATCCAGCGAATAAATATTTACTATTTTTTAAATTTTCTTTCTCTCAGTATAAGACAACAACCCGTATAGTTATCTTGAGTATAGTAGTATATTGTATCTTGAGATTCTTCATTGATTTTTCATATTTGGAGAAATATACTCGTAAAACCTAAAAATTTCGACTCAAACGCGACCAGTAATTAAATAAATTGAGTAAAACACTAGACAGTACGTGTTTTTATACGACAGACATCTTATCCCGCAATTTTGAATAGACATTTGTGTTAAAAAAAGAGTCATGTTATCATCCTCTTCGAGCGCTATTCTTCTCGCCATAGCCGCGTTGTGTCGTCACGTGAACGATTGTGAACTCCGGCGCGATGAAAACGAACAAATCCATAGTCGCGATCATTAACCATCGGACTACAAAACGCGCAATTGTCGCCGTCAAATTAACGGCGATTGCACAAACGGAAAACAAAAACTGGTATCCAGAATCGGCGTTGCCGGGCGATCTGTATGGCTGTGAGTTAACTGAGCGATTTTCGATATAAATCAGAGCGCGATCATCATTAAGCCGTCATCAATCATCCGGCGCGAGATTGATAGTCGATCGATACGACGGCTCATTCTCACTCACCGTTCAGACTCATCGAGTCGTACTGCTCGGTCTGCAGCGGCTCCCTGTAGATGATCGGGTCCATCCCCGCGAAATCGGCGACCGTGCCGGTGTAGAGCTCGCCGTCCACGTAGACGAAGGTGCTGTTGTGCTGCGGATCGTACGGACACCTCGCTTGGCCCGCCTTCTCCTGCACCATCGAGTAGTTGCCCGCGAGCACCGTGTAATCGCGGCACATAGGCTTGAAGGCGTTGGTCGCGCACACGAACAGATGGTTCGGCCCGGTTTTCACCAGGATGCGTATGTAGTTTTGGCAGTTCTCCTCGGGCGTGCCCTTGACCACGCACATTTTCACGTCGTTATCCGTCGAGTACCAGGTTAGCCTCTGTTGCTCCGTCAAGTCGGTCAGGCTGAGGTTGTGCACCAGATTTCTGAAACGTGCGATTTCGTATTTTACAAAAACGGAATTTTCCAGAATCGAAAAATTTTTCTGCTGCAAGAATTTCGAAGATACTAAGGTCCTTTAATGCTCCTTGTGCTACACTGAGAGAAAAATCTAAAGAATGAAAAAATATTTATTTGATGGGTAATAGTAACATACTCTTACATTTACACAAATATAAAATACTTTTCACATAAGAAAACTATATACGTTTTCTGAAAATCTTTTTAAAACTTTAGCATAAACTCATGAAAGCAATTAATTATATTTATTAACTAATTGTAACTCATTCGTTGGTTTAATTAATCAAACTGTAATAACTTATCAAATCATTGTAATAATTAATTAATTGTTTATTATATTTAAATAAAAGAATTTAGATTTATTAAGTTATTAATGTCTATTGTATAAATATTTCTTATTCTTTAGATACTTTTTCTTTTAGTGCACGCGACATATTAACACATAATAAAAGAAAAAAGAAAGGTTAATCTAACTAAAATTATATAATATTACTTTTGGGGTTCCTAAAAATTCTTGTTTATTTCAACACGAAAATGATAGTAGCAACACGTATATAAGGTTATTACCAATAATATTATAGTAGAATTTAATTTAAAATATAGGACATAATTTATAGTAATTATTTCTCTATGTGATTATAATTACAAATACCAAACACTTTCCTCTCAGTGTAACGGTGTTGTACAAACCGAAATTTCTGTTTCGACGTCTTTCTTAGACGCTTACAATATATGTGGAATGTAATGTAACGCTCGATTACGAGAAAAAATGTGCGACGCGCGGTAGCACAAAACCATCAACAAAAAGTGTAAACACATCTTCTTCCTTCGCCAACAGTCGTTGCTTATAGTTGAATGATCATACAGTTGAAATAGCTGCGACCTGCAAGGAGGTTAAATTTGCCTTTGTATCTCGCGGACTTCTCGCGGTGTTTTCAGTCAGTCCCGGACCGGCGAGCGACGCGCGCACCACGATTTACGTGTGTTGTTAAAGTGTTTCTTTACATAACATTCGGGACCTTCGAGGCCGTCAAATTTACGTTAGCAGCTCGCGCACTTCTCCGTATGTTGCCATTCAATTCCGGGCCGGCGAGCGACGCGCACGTCACGGAGCGTTATTTATTGTTCCTTTTGGATAATTAAATTATTTCGTTGACGTTTTTGAGATACTTAAGATTAGTGGTTCGTCGACATCGCGTTATTTAACACGGGCATCCTCGATTTTATCTACGCGAGTGTCAGTGTCAGTGCCACGATGGAGCAGCCAGGATGCCAAGCCGGGAAGCCAGGACGAAGGACGCAGGACGCCAGGATGTGGACAGCGATACATCATATATCTTCCAGGTGTGTCAAATCATTTATTATATGGCAGGTTTCCGTTTCCAACGGACGTTTGATGAATATCCGCGAATAAGAAAAATACCCGAGTCGAAATTTAGGCCAACATTCATAGTTTCTCATTGTATGACATATAATTATAGCTTCGTCAATCTCCGATCAATCATCAACATCCAGTGAATTTATGAAATTATTTCATATAAGAAATATTGAAACAGTTAAATAACGGTCCGTCAATACAAGTCTGTAATTAAATTCTCAATCAAAGATTTTAAATAAATCACAACTCTGTGAATATTGGCCTTAAAATTTAATGCAAATCTCCCAAGAGTTAATTTTCATGTCTAATAATGCTTCTTCGACCGCGATTTTGTTGCCAACGTCTTTCTTGCTTTTGTTTAGCTTTTGTTATTATTATCGCATCTAGAGTTTATCTATTGATAAACAGCATTATTGGACGCATAACTGTTGTCTTTACCTTTGCAGCTTTATATCAGCTCTTTTAAGAGCTACAAATCTCATCAAAACTTCCATAAAAAAAGACAAAAAAAAAATTAGGAAGAGATGAGATTAACGTCGTTTTCTTACCCATTTACTCATATACTCCTTATTAAATAATCTTAACATTTGTTTATCTATATAAATTCCGTTTGCATATAGTCACACTTCGCCAATTGCTAATTTCACGAATACTTGCCAATTAATATATTAACGTAATATAATGCCACACTTCGCTTATTGTCATTATTGTTATCGTATCATTTCTGTAACGATGATAAAAATCGGATGAAATAGTCGGATATATTAAGTAATTAAAAAATAATCAAAATAATTGAAAATAAATAAAAAATTCGGATATTAAGTAATTCTTGAATGAGTGCTTCTTCATACTTCTTCGACGTGCAGAAAACGGCAGTAAATAACTATCCTGCAGCATCGAGGTAAGTCAATAGTTTGTATATCTCGAGATTTTGCATTGACTCTTCAAGTTTGACGGAATTTGCAGGGTCAATGTAGAATCAAAATTTCGACTCGGGTAAACTCGCTCTCAGCAAGTTCTTCTTTAAGCTTTCAAATAGAATAAACGACAGTAGGTTACAATTTGTAGTATCGAAGGAGCACAATAGTCTGTACAAATGTTACGTCTCGAAATTTTTCACTGACCTATAAATTCGACTATATTTGAGGGCTTAATGTAGAATCTAAAGGATGATCAATAAAATGGGCCGATTTTGACCTAATTTAATTACTTTTCTTATAACTTAGTTTTGTAATTTTTTTTACTGAAAAAATCAAGAAAACACTTTAAAATAAAATACTTAAGAAGTGTTAAATTTAATATTCTGAAATTGGCAGGATATAAAAACTAAAAAACAGATAGTCAATTTCTTATTCAAAGAATCTTAGGAGAGAAAGAGAGAGTCTCGTCAGATGTGCATACATTTGCATACATTGTGCAGTTTTAAGGATGTTAAAATGGCTAGTGGTGAACTTCCACATCATTCTAGAGGTTCTACTAAACTTATAAAGAAATTTAGCATTTCTCAAATGTTTTATTTTTAAGAATTTCCTTGGTTTTCAGTGAAAAAGTTATGAGACTAAATTATGATACAAATAATTGGGAATCGTCATTAATCAAATTACTATTAAAAGTGACTTATTTCGATTTCTTTAAGGCAAATTATGATCATTTTCCCACAGGTCGGATAAAAATGCTACCATTGCCAGCGACTCAAAATACGTAAAATTAGATTTATAATTTATTATTACACTTTTTAGACAAAAATCGGCCCATTTTATTCATGGTCCTTTCAGTTCTCTTTAGAAAGAAATGCGAAACGACGAATTACGTCGTGAATAGTTGAAAATGAGTTCGACTTTCGTGAAGAAGTGGCGCACTTTATAAATTTCTTTTGCTCTTCTTTCACTCCGTTGAATTGATCGAGATGCGACAGGATTTCAAGAAAAAACGATCGTTAAGTTGCGTTACCGATCACGTTAAACGAGACGAAAGTATTTCGCAGAAAATTCGTGGATTTGATTCGTAAACTTTGATAACTTTTGGATCTTAATTAGATTTTTAAAAATATACAGGATGAGTTTTAACATCTGAATTCGATTGACAAAAATAGCTTTTTATGAGATGAAAATAGAAAAGTGACAGAGAGAAATATTATATTATTTATTGAAATTTGTGTTTATATTTTGTTCAAAGATATACTGATATATATTTGCAACTGCACTGTTTTTTTAATTGGAATCGTACATTTTTTACACATAAATCGATTCTTCTCGCTCGCTTGCATTCCATTTACGCTGAGGTTCCTCAGTTTTCATTTTAGATTAGATTCATTCCAAACTAACTTTTTATCACAATAATATTTTTGCTAACTTGTTCCTATCTTGATATCCTATCCTAGATTTAAATTTTTCGGTTCAATCACATGATATATACGTGACATTATATTTGCAATCGCGATTCCACTGAAAAATTCGCGTTTCAACTCGAATACGAGTAACATCCACACGTATATAAGGTAAGTCCAATACAACTATTAATACAGTTCTTTTGTTTCAAGTTGTTACTCCTAGAAATAAGAACATCGATAAAAATTTGTCGAACCGCGCCCTCGATCTCGCTCGATACTCTATGCAGGTGGACGCAATGGCGCTCCTTGAATTTCGCGATGCGTGAGTGGCGGTGCATCCGCCTTCCAATGACGTAACGTTGTTTACGTGTACGGGAGTACGGAATGCGAGTTCACCCCCACCTCTGACACGATCAACTGATCGCCCTGCCACGCGGTCATTGACGCCCGAGGTTGCGCGTGCAGTATGCGCAGTGGCAGCGCGTGGCATCTAATCGACGTTCTATGTGCGACACAGAGAGAGCGCTATTGTGTTCGCTACTAACGAGTTTGAGTTCGGTAACCTCAAAGATCCGTAACTGACGAACGAGTCGACGTAGACATATGAAACAAGGACCAATCTTCTTAATGTATCTGTCTGCTTTAATTATCACTGTTTCCGATTCGGGTAATAGTGCAGCCGAATGCGTCGCGATAGATGTAACTCCAGAAATTTCATGCAAAATACACTTGTCCTCCCTCGTGACCGAACCGCCTAAATCCTCCATCTCCAATCTTCCTCATGTCGTCATGGGAACAATATTATTATATTCTTTTTAAGTATTTCAAATATGCCAAATATTACACGTAACTGACATTAACATTTTGTTGTGGTAAACATACTTAGACATGGGATATCTTTATTGTTTTTTCCGTATACACATTACTATCACAAAAAGAAAGTTAGGGTGATGCGATTAATAATACTGCTCACTAAATATTTCTGATCATGTGCGTCATATTTTTCTTTTGCCGTGCGTTAATTATTAAGGCGCTTATGGAGCGCCTCGTTCGCAGCCGAGTGTGACCATTGATCTTTTCCTATTGTCGTCGTGAATCTCGGCACAATACACCAAGTATTCCGGCGCGAGCGTTACGAGCGGGAAGAAAAAGTTTCCCCCTAAGTCGCGAAGTTAGATGTCTAAAGTAGACGTCGGCGGCCTCACGCGCGCGAAAGCGAGATTTTCTGGTTAGTCGGGGAGCGGCGTTCTCGTTCGAAC